GACCTCGTCCTGGGCCACCCTGTGTTCTCTCCACCCTGAGCCGTTTCCAGTTCTTCGTATACAAGTCTCTCCGTCCCTCCTCCTTACGTTTGAATGTGCTGTGTGCTCTGCCTAGACCACTTCTGTTGAGTCTTCAAGGCATGGATGCCTTTTCATGAACTTCCCTGGGAGGAATTCAGACCCTTCTCCCTCTGTGTGGAGTCCCTCTATAAGGCCGTCTGGTTTCTCATCCGACTGAGACTCCCACGGGCATCATGTGCTCTGTGCCTAGAACAGTGCCTGCCTGTTCAGAGCATGCTGACTGTTTGAAGGAATGATGTGCTAGTTTCAGTCTCAGATTTGGGGTTGACGTACTCCAGGCAATGCAGTGAAAATGGGGGTCTCTGATTGGCCAGAAGTCTAAGGCTGGTCTCCTTGGAGGGGACACCATGGCTGCTCCTCGAGAAGGAAGCCTTGAAGTATAAGGTATAACTTTTGTGCTTGGCCTCTCCTGCAGCAAATTGCCTTTTAATTCCCAGCCATTGAACAGAACTAGTGCTCTCAAGAAAGCCCTACACATTCGACACATTGAGACGAGCCAAGTAGATATTGGAGACCACGCACAACTGTTGACCGAGGGCCTGAGACAGTTTCTCCTGCTTTACAGCTACTCCTTTCACTTGACCCATTTAATTTTGCTCTTTAGGAGTAATCAAGGTGATGGGTATTTTCAGGGAAAAGATAAAAAAAATAAATACCAACACCATTTTTCCATCCTAAAAATATAATATCACTCTAGAGTGAGCCCTGAATCACCATGTCCTTGTGAACTGTGCCGCCTGTGGAGTTCTCTGGCTGCCCACCTGGGTGCTCTTGCTGCGCCGACAGCCTCGCCAGCTTCCTGAGCTTTGCTTGTTGTAATAAGACCAGTAGCAAAAGGGGAATTTGTCTCTGGAAACCCTAAGCAATTCAATGTTCGTTATTCCCGCTTTGCAGTGAGTTGCGTATTTGCGGTTCTTGGATTTTATTTCTTCCACCACTGGTTAAAAGGCAAAACTGTGTTACTCTAGTCTCAGGAATGACCCACACGGTCGCTAACCACCACTCCCTCTCCTCTGCCTTTGGACTCTCCAGCCTCCTTCCCAGAGCCCTCCTTCCTCATCCTGTTCTTGTCCTTTGACATCCAGGCCAATGAGACCTTGAGAGCCTCAAGCTCAAGACATCTTTGTCTTTATACTTCTGGCCCCTAAAATATACAAAGTAATAGTTAATAGGTATCTGTTAAACTGACAGACACAGAGCCTGGTGCTTTGGGCCCCACTGTCTTCGTCAAGGGTCATGGTTTAACTTTGCTTGGGAGCCCCTGTGTCTCTATTCCGAGCACTTTGTCCTCCTCAGAGCCCAGAGTGAGACCTGACTCTGGATGACTTTCGCCATTATTTTAACTATTCTGTTAGTTAGAAGGGACTTTTTGAGAGTGCTCTAAGAGCCTTATTATTACTTCAAATAATAGCAGCTAACACGGAATGAAAGGCACTGTGCTAAACCGAGACCAACCTTGAGACCAGCTGGGTGATGCTGTTATCCCCCCATTACAGATGAGGAGCCTGAGGCTTGGAGAGGTTAAGTAATTTGTTCAAGGTCACAGTGCTAATAGTGTCTGTCATCGATTGCAAGTTACCCATTTTTTTCCTGAGATCTTTGCAGTGGTGTACTCTTCTTGGTGCCTTGGGGTTCCAGTCCCTGGTGGCCTGCAGGCAGGAGTCATAAAGGGGGACATAGCCTTTGCCTGTGTGACCCTGGACACAGATGCTCATGTTGTCCTCACGTCACTTCCTTTATGTGCGTCCTTGGTACTCATATCTTGAATTTAGTTGCACACAGTCTGGTTTTGAAAATGAAGAGAGTAAACTTTGGAGTCAGCATGCTTGCTTTGTTCTCCATAACTTACTTATAAATTACACTCTATCAGCACTGAAAAGAAAAGTCACTGTGAAAATCAGACAGATCTTGTAACAGAGCAGTGGAGCGTTCATCTGACATGAGCGAAGCAAAGATTTGTCACTAGAAGAATAACCTCAATTCCATATTTTCTCACACGGAACCAATCAATTACTTGGAAAGGGTGATACCTGCACAAAAAAGGAGGCAGTGTTTGCGTTTTGTTACTGAAATATGTGCAGAGCAAACGATAACCTGTCCCACGTGAAGCAGTGCCATGGAAGGCAAGAAAAATGACCAGATCTCTTTGAATATATAAAAGAAATGTCAGAGCCGTCGGAGGCTGATGTGAGCAATTCCTGGATATCTCAGGACTGTTGTTACGGCATTGTGTCATCGTTTAAATGCACGTTTTCGTCACTGATGATAAAATCATGGTACATCTGAGTAATCATTGATGTTGAATTTGATGAAATCCTTCAAGTGGCAGATCCAGTTTCAAACCCATACAGCCTAGCTCTAGGGATTTCCACATCCACTACACTCCTGGCTTTTATTATCTTTATGGGAAAACGTTAGCAGGGTGTAAAGGGGTTTACAAATCAAGTTTTAGAACACAGCTGACTTGATAGTGAGATGATGGCTTGTTTACCGAATGCTTAGTGCCATGTTTAAAGCAGAATCTCCCCCAGTACCTGGTGGCTTTAATTAAAACCTATTTTAAGTTAGCCATAATTAATCACTCCATTGACCTATCAGACAGCAGCGGGTTGTACTGTGTTTCCATTCCTTGATTGCCTAACAGGGACATGGAGGAGATGCTTACAGTCATCGAGACAATTGAACTGTTGGGGTTGGCGGAGGTGCGAGGAAGAGTTCCCCTCTCCCCTCCTCTCGTTCAGAACCACCTGAGACATCTACACGGGTGTCCACAAATGGAGATTAAAACATTAGAACAGTGATCTCGATCAGAAGACACAGTGTTGATGTGTGTCCATGATAGGAGTGCTAACAGGTCACCCTGAATGTGTGGCCCAGTGCCACAGCTGAACTGCTGGGGGGCCAGGTCCTCACTATATGGGGGGAGCTGATCAGAATGCATGTATTTAATATTTTGTACATAGGCTGGTTTTGGAAACAGAAAGAAAAATGACTGAGTCAAGCATGCTTGCTTCTGCCTCTGTCTATATCCATTTCTCTGTAACTCATACTGCTTCACCTGGGGAGGGTTGATCGAGGGAGAGGAGGGATTGCCCAGGAGGACCACTCTAGAGGAGATGCCTTCCCTCAGTGGAAATCGAGGCCTCAGGAAGGGGGCCCTCACTTAGTAACCGTGACCGTGAATAATGACACCAACAGACAGATTTTTCATTTTAGAGTTTCCCTCATTGTAGCCTGAGCCAGAACCAGTGGACTTGGCCAAATGGTGAGGTTGCATTTAATGTGAATATGGCCCAGTCCTCTGTGTCTAAAATCTCTTTCCATAGTTTTCAGTTGGTTGAATAATGCCCATAGGTATCTTTGCCTCATTGACCTTCATTGCATGTAAGATCTGCAAGAACAACCAGAACCTGTTGTTCCATCCCAAAGCCAGCATTTTACTTAGAAGAAAAACCTGAGAGTTTAGATATGGAAACTTCTGTCTTCTCAATGCCAAGACCTTTCATGAAAATTAGTTTGATCCTCTGGATGTTTTGGCCACATGATGGCAAATATCTGAATATTTTAAAGATATTTGAATGTTACCAACCTGCAGGCCTGAGTTTATCCAGGTAGATTTTCATCATGTTGCTACAAGTCACTATATTCTGGATCTAACTTTTCATTTTCAAATCATCTCATAAACCATGGTTTCTCTGTAAAGTTACTTGGGTGGTCATTAAAAAATATATAATTGCCTTCTTATAAGCAATACTCTAACAGGTGCATTTTATTTATTTTGTGTATTTTTAAAAATTTTATACATTTGTCTAGCTAGTGTCTTTTTTGCTAATACAGTGCTGAATACGTAGTAGGTCCACCATAAAAACCTATAATTTGTTAATCCTTTCAGGAGTGAATCTCAAAGGAGACAGTGGGCTTTCATATTATAACACCATTCGTTTTTATCACTTTATTCTGAACATTAGGCTGATAGGTTTTGGCCAACCTAAACTAATTATACTGAAGATAAACTCAGTGCTAGTGTTCCTTTACCCCTGGAAAATAAAAATATGCAATCATCTTACACTTATTCTTAATTTAAAACTTTATATTGTATGTTTAGCAGTTTCTGGCTTTGTGGGGGTGAAGGGCCGGGCTTGGAAGATAATGGGAGGGAAGGTCACATGCTCCCCCACTGCAGGAAGGTATATGGCTCACACCCCTGGCGAGCAGCCCCATAGAGGGCATCCCTTTGGAGGCTAAGAACCAGAGCGTGCATGACTTGGTGTGGGCCGATGGGAGCCAATCCAGGGAGCAGGTCCCAGCTGGGAGCCCTCTGAGCTATTCCCTTGGCCTTTTTCCTTCCGTTCTGCCTGGGCTGCATTTTTACCAAGGCTGATCTCCTTGCTCTTTCCTTTCCTCACCTAAATGTGTCATTTTGCACATCCACCCTCATGATGTCCCCTATCCACCCTCATGATGTCCCCTTTCTCAACCCTCCCTTCAACCCCACCTCCTCCTCTTTGGTGACTCCAGAACATGTCTATGTCCATTTCTCTCTCCTACAACGCCTGTTCCATTCACCTGCCCACACCACGCAAGTACTGATTTAGATGCATGACCTTCTTTGCTGTTCCACAGATGCATGGCTTAGAGCTCTGGCTTTGCCAGGAACTAACTAAGTGACCTCAAGCAAACTATGTGCATTATTTCCAAGGACCTCAGTTTTCTCACCAGGGAAATGATGTCCAAAAACACTTCCTACTTTGAAATGTGTACCCTTTGAAAGTGTGCACAGTGATAAAACCTGGGAGAGTAAGTGACCATCTCCCACCTGCAGCCACTGCCTGCTGCAGAGGCAGTTGTTTGGCCTGATTCACATCTGCTGCTGGTTCTTCTCTTTCTTGGCTAACTTTCTGCTTTTTTTTTTTTTTTAGGGCTGGGAGAGGGTTCTGCCCTCCTTCATCCGGACAGCAGATCCCATCCTAGGTCCTTTGAGAAAAGTGCCTGGAGGGCTTTCAAGGAGTCACAGTGCCATCACATGCTGAAACATCTCCACAATGGCGCACGGATCACTGTGCAGATGCCGCCTACGATCGAGGGCCACTGGGTCTCCACGGGGTAAGAGCAGCGAGGGGAGGGGGGTCTGGGAGGGACCAGAGAGCACACTTCCATGGAAGACCCTTCTTATGGGTTCCAGATGCATAGAGACTTTGTATAATCTACAGTGATTTAGGTGTTGTCTAAATTCTAACTAAGAACCAAACCACTCTTTGAAATTATGGTTGGTTAAGAAACAGAGCTAAGTACTGTAGAAATCTTATGCTAAGGCAGAGATTATATTGTACCTCTGTTAACCACACAGTGTGAGTGAATAGATCCTTGTTTACTGAACTCTTTGGGACCACTTGCGTATAAAAAGAAACCATTAGCAAGTGAAATTAAGAGTCTGCGTTTCACCAATGCTGAAACATGACTTGCAAGCTTCTTATGGGCTAAATATTCTAGCCATATTCTGGTAATTTAATATATGGCTCCAGGGTTCTAAGTAAGTTAAAAGCTACCTCTACTAGCCAGGGCGTAGTTCTTGGATTCTTTTCCATGCTGTGAAGCTGAGATTTATCCCAGTTTTAGCTCTGGCTTATCTTCCATTAGAGCTTTTAAAAATAGCCTAGAGGCAGATCTGTGATTTTTTTTTTTTTTTCCTACCCATTAAATTGTTGAGAATTAACAAGACTAACTCTGGGATCTGATCACTCCTCCCTGTGCACTATTCCTGGGATATGGATAGCAGCCTCCAGGTACCGTGGGGAGGGATCAAATGAATATGGAGAAGAGAAAAAAGAAATTTTGTAGTGTAATGAAAAACCAGAATTTTTTTTTCTAAAAAATGAGAATGAGGTCTCTCAAAATAACCATATGATAAATAATTTGTATAAACAATCTTAACATTATGTTCTGTAAAATTATTTACGTTTTATTCAACAAATATTTACTGAATGCCTACTGTGTGCCAAGCACTAGTCTAGATTTTGCATATGTGTGTGTGTGTATATATATATATATATAGCAGTGGACAAAACAGATGTGGTCCTTAGCTTCAGGGATTTTACAAGTAAACACACATAGTGCTGTGAAGAGGGGTAGTGGGCAACAGATGCTAAAGGAGAATGCCAGGGGACCCTATTTTAGGATCAGGGTGGGGTCCAGAGAGTCTACTAAAGAAGGGGACCCTTGAGCTGAGACATCATTGTCTGTGCAAAGGCTGCAGGAAGAGCTTTATATCTGGCAGAACCGGCAGAGGCTGGCTAGATTGGAGGATGGGTGTTGGAGAGCCCTGTGGCCGGGGTGCGGTAAAGCAGGGAGAACCGCCAGAGGAGCCGAGGTGCTCTTTGCAGACTAGGTCTCCTTCTAACCCAAGACGACTGGGAAGTCATGGAAGGGTCTTCAGCAGGGGCCATGCTTAAGACATGGTCCAACTTTACAAAAGGGCACTCTGGCTGCTCCGTGGCAAATGGTGGGAGAAAAAGTGATTTGGGGATAACCACTTAAAAGACCGTTGCAACTGTTCTGGCTGGAGAGGATTAGGGAGGAGGGGTGCAGGGGTGATTGAGAAGTGGCCAGACCTGAGATCCATTGTACGTGAGAGGCAGAAGAATCAGGTTGTTGATATTTAGATAAAAAATTAAAAATATGGGATCTTCTTTTCTAAACCTCAGCTGACATGAATCACTGCTTATGCTAAACTTCTCTTGCTTTCGGGGAGAAATCTGGGGTGTTTTCTCTCCTTTTTCTCGGATTACAGATGCTCTAAGGACTGCTGAGTGCTTTATGTCCATAGGATGTTATTAATATTTGACATCAGTTGTCAAACTTTACATAGCAACAGGTACCGCTTCTAAGTAGTATATGTCTTTCACCAGGCTCTTGACTAAAAAATTAAAATGTTAGCAATTTTGGGACCCTATTGTGTTTGGAATTTTAGCCTTGCTGCTTGATTTGGTAACACAAAGTCAGCTCAAACCAGAATCGATGTTAAAGCTGTAGACGTGAGCAGAGTTAGAAGAGCAAAATTGATGAGCTGAAAGTCATGATGTAACTGAGACTAGGATCTAACAAAAGTTCATGGACAGATTCTTTGAACAATGCTTGAAGAACTCCTTCTCCCTTCCCCTGTACGGACTCTGCTGGTTCCGTAGGAGTCGACATTGGAGTGGTGTGAGAACACCCCTGAGGTAAAACCCACTCCCGTCGTGCTCTGGAGATCCAGTCTAAGTGCTTCTGGCTTAGGCATCTAGCATTGATCTAAAGCTACACTGTCAACCAGCACAAACAAAAGAAACCCTTATTTCTGCTATTGGGTTAGCTTTGCTTTCACGTAATTACCCCTTTATTTTTCTGCCAGAGGGAAAATTAATTTTGAATGGATAAGAGGGCAAGTTTCCATGTGCCACTAGGTGACTGGATTCCATTTCAGGATGACATACATTCTGCACCTGCTTGCTCTAGACAAGGCCCATAAAAGTGTTCAGGAAGTGAGCTATTTTTGAATTAGCATAAGAGAACTTCTTTTATAGGCCAGCACTACGCTCCTCTTCCCTATCCAGAAAGAAAGAAATTTCTGTGTATGCTAGGCCCACAGGTGGAGGTGAGGACAGCAGGTGTCTGCTCTCCTGGCCTGTTCATCAAAGGAGTGGAGACTTCCCAGAGTAGAGTGAGCAGGAGCTCGTCAGCCGAGCTGGACGACCTGGATTCATGGTCTGGCTCTGATACTTGCAGGTTATGTGACCTTGGACATGTTCCTCAACCTTGTGCCTCTGTTTCCCCATCTGTAAAGTGTGGGTGATCATACCACCTCACTCCCAAGTTGTTGTGAGGATTCAGTGGATTGGTATCTATACGGACCTACAACAGTGTCTGGCCCATAGTCAGTTATTATTTCTATAATTTCTTAACACTATAATAAATCTCTTCCTCGTGTCTTCGGCTTAAAAAGGTCTTTCCTTCCCCTTTTCTGCTTCAGCTGCGAAGTAAGGTCAGGCCCAGAGTTCATCACAAGGTCTTACAGATTCTACCACAATAACACCTTCAAGGCCTACCAGTTTTATTATGGCAGCAACCGGTGCACGAACCCCACCTACACGCTCATCATCCGCGGCAAGATCCGCCTCCGCCAGGCCTCCTGGATCATCCGAGGGGGCACCGAAGCCGACTACCAGCTGCACAACGTCCAGGTTATCTGCCACACGGAGGCGGTGGCCGAGAAGCTCGGCCAGCTGGTGAACCGCACCTGCCCGGGCTTCCTCGACGCCGGCGGCCCCTGGGTGCAGGACGTGGCCTACGACCTGTGGCGGGAGGAGAACGGCTGCGAGTGCACCAAGGCCGTGAGCTTCGCCATGCACGAGCTCCAGCTCATCCGGGTGGAGAAGCAGTACCTGCACCACAACCTGGACCACCTTGTCGAGGAGCTCTTCCTCGGCGACATTCACACCGACGCCACCCAGAGGATGTTCTACCGGCCGTCCAGTTACCAGCCCCCGCTGCAGAATGCCAAGGTACCGGTTTCCGCCACTGCCTTCAGACCCTGCCTTCCCCTCTCAAGTAAAATGGGTGTCATGGGGCGGGGGGAACCTGGGAAAGGGAGAATTCCGTGTCTCACAGGGGCAGGCCGAGGGGGCTGCTGTGAGTGGAGGAGCTGTGGAAGGCTGGTTGGGGGCACTAGCCACAGGAGACCTGGGTCGGCCACCAACCCGCCTTGGGATGTGGCCCCGGTTCTCCTACGCCTAAGGCTGCTCCCGGCTCTCACATCCTAGGAACGCCCCTGGGATTCCAAGGGGAAAGCACGAAGGATATGTGGAGATTCTACAGCCACACTCGGGAAAGATAAGGAACGACTACAGGGACCGCAGGCGGGACAGAGAGGGCGAGGGACAGTGGGATTGGCGCAGGGCTAGACTCCACAGAGCTGTCACCTGGGCCACCGCCCTCAGTCTTCCCGGCGCCATGGGGGCGGAGGCGGCGGTCCAGGGGAGATGGCAGAGAGTTCCCGTGCCGCCGTGAGCCCAGACTCTTCCTCCAGACCCACACTCTTTCCATTTTACTGCGAGAAATGTAAAGTCACTGTGACGGGGGACTGAGGAGGCAGGAAACAATTAAACCTTGCAACGTGGTTCTTGAATGATATTCCAGTAATTGTATTTGGAATTCACAAGGCATTTCCTTCCCACAAGCTCAGAATGTATGTCCGCCTGTAACTCTGTCGTCCCCACCGCAGAGCCTGTGAAGTCGCTGCGGGGGCGGGGGGTGGGGGGCTCCTGGTCAGTCCGAGCAGGGTGCCCCGTGTGCTGCGGGTGGCTGGGCAGCGCTCTCTGGAGGGTCCCCTGCTGTCCTGACCGGCTTTGGGGAACGTTCTCCAGCACAGAGGCTCTGACTGCAGAGCCCGCCTGACTTTTGTTTGGTGGATTCTTCGTTTTTTCCCTCTGACGTTACTCGTGACTGGTGGAGATATAGCAGGGCACTTCCTATGCCAGAGGCTGCTCACCGTTACCTTTTTCTGTCCATGCCGTTGTGAGCTCGTAATGACAGTAGCCCTTGCTATGATTATGAGATACCCGCTGCGGAAGCCCGCTGGGCGGGGCTGCCTCCCCTGGCCGCGCCTGGTCAGGTGAGCGGTCTCTGAGCGCAGTCCGGCCAACTCACAGACGGTGCCGTGTGGACGTGAAGCCCCGAGGCCCTGTGCCCTCAGACCCACTCTCCCTGCCCTGAGGCTGCACAGGCGTCTCCTTGTGGGGACTGGGATGCTACTGGGCTTTGTTCCAACACAGAGTGGGAGCCGGGCTCATTTTGTCCTGCCTTTTGAGTTTCAGACACACTGAAGAGATCAAGGTGAGTCAGGGCAGGGAGGGAGGGGCAGCCCCTAACGCCACTCCACTGTGGCAGCTGTTGGGGTCCAAGAGGCTCTCCTAGAACAGGCAACAGGGAAAGGGCCCACAGCTCTGCCCCTTTAGCATGTTGAGTCTCCAGCAAAGGCATCCGGAGGAGAATCTGCTCCCCAGGGTGACCCTGGGCCAGGTGTCAGTGGCTCTCTTGGGAGAATGGGTAGGAAACCTGTGCTTCCACTGGCGCTTTGGGACCTTTCCAGTTGGTCACGTTATCCAGAGGCAGCGCTGAGCACCGGAGCTACATAGCGAGTCTTTGGAATCTCTGGTTTGAGCAGGGAAAGGGGATTTTCACCCCTACATTTTGCTTTTTCTGAGTATGGTCTACCCGACTTTCAGACGATCTCAGTGATGAGAGACATGTGCAGATGTCATGAATAAATCAGGCCAGAGATAATCCAGAGACCACCTTAGTCAAGAGTGTCCCACCCGAGCTCTTGTGAAGATCTGCTAAATAGCAACACCTTTCTCGTCCCCTGCTCACCCCCCAGCAGAGACACTAACAGAGACACAAATGAGCAGCGAAACCCCAAAAGCGGGAGAGGGGAGTCAGCGCTGAGCGAGGGGCAGGTGTGGCCAGGGAACGTGCCAGGGCAGAGGCAGGGCCGGCTGTGGGCTCCATACCTGACCTTGGGCTGGTCCTTGGCGCTCACCCGGGTTCTGGTTCCATTTCCGCACCCTCACGCACTTGCGTGGGCTCTTTGATCTCTTAAGCTCTTTTTAGTACTGGGGGGAAAGGGATTCGCCATCACCACCTTCCTTTTCTTACCTCTGTCTCTCTCCTCTCAGTTTCCTGTGGCATTCTGACAGGTCAAAGTGGCATTCCCACGGCTCTCTCGGTGATTCTCTCTCTCTCGCCCTCTAGTCCAGGAGGAGGGACTTTGCATTCTGGTTAGTGTCCCTCTGTCCAAACAGAGCCTTCCTGTGGCTCCTGGAGGGAAAATGTCTTGAAACTGAAAGTTATATTAAATACTGGCATGGGAATTAAGGATGGCAGTTGTAAGCTTACCTTTTGAGATTTTTTTTTAACATTTTCTGGATAAATTGGCAAGAATATGGGCTTTGGAAATGGTAGCCAATCCTGGAATCCGATTCTTTTGCTGTCATCGGCCATGTGGCATTGGTAGTTATCTGACCTATTGGAGCCTTCATTTTATTTTTTTCTATAAAATGGTACAAATGTAAGAATTGATAGGGTTAATGTGCAGAATGCTGTCTGGCATCTGGAAAGGGGCCCTCTCCGAAGCTCCTGTCTCCTGCAACCTGGAATAAGTCACCCTTCTGGGCCGATGGCTAGCAGAGTAGAGGAATGAGAATGGTGGTTGACCAGGGGATATCGGTGTTTGATGGCGCCTACTGTAAAACATTTCCCCCCATTTTCTCCTCCCTCCTCTACTAAGACAGTTGTGGGAACATTTACCCATATTTTTAAGAAGTAGATTCTTCAAAGTCTAGACCTGATTCCCTGATTCCAGAACTGCTGAGGATGGAAAGAACCTTAGGACCTTGGATATTATCCAGGACATACTGTTAAGTGGGGGGAAAAGGAAAAGGAAGGTACAGAATAGTATGAATAATATGATGCTGCTTATATAAAACTATTAGTGAAAGAAGAAGGGGAAGATGAGCTTGCAAAGGAATCATATTTCTGGAAGGTTCTTCCTGATTGCCTCTGAGGGAACTGTATGGACTTTTCAGTTTTTGTCCCTCTTGCATTTTGTGCTGTGATCTTACATTACCTAAACACAATCACCACACAAAATTTAATTTAAAAAACAAAAAACCAGCTAGGACTCTGAGGCTCAGAGGGATGCTGTGGCCACAGATGGAGGTGGCGGCCCCGCTGAGAGGAGGACCCAGGCTTCCAGAGCCCGCCCCGCTGCCCGGCGGGATGGCTGGGGGGTCAGTAGAAGGCCACGTGGCTCTGGGAGCTGAAAGGGCCCATTCTTCTCTGTTGTCCCTCACCTTGTACCTCTTGGCCTGCGGTGCGCAGTGGAGTCTTCAGGAAGTTTTTAGCTCCTTCCCCAGGACAGCTAAGAGACAGAATAAATGCACTTGGCCGTTGGTGTCTTTCCAGATGCTGGGCACTGCAGAGCCCAGTTGCTGTGTGCCCACGAGGGCCCTGCAGGAGCAGGTTGTCTGAGCTGGCTGTGGCCGCCCGCCCGGGACAGGGAGAAGGGCTGGGAGAGCGTCTCCAAAGACCGCACAGGCTGCCTGGGAGAGGCCGGAGCCTCCCGCTTTGAACTCTTCGCCTTCCCTAATTGCTGGTCCATAGAGACCTGGCCGAAAATTAGTCTAAATGGTAAATTGAGTTTGAAACCACGAGTCTCAGCCCCTCTAGAAACAGGACACCGTATAAAAATAGAAACTTTAAGTCAACTTGTTTTTTTAAGCTTTATGCAGCTTTGCTGTGAGGTTCACAGTCCTTTGGCAAATAAATTATGTTTGAAGAGCTTCAGGTGTGCTGGGAGGGTTCTTTCAGGATGGAACTGGCTACTCTTCATTAAAAAAAAAATCAAGACAGCTTAAAATAACCCCGAAAGATCTTTTGCCTGAATCGAGTTTAGCATCAGGGCAGCCCTTACCCTCTGCCTAGATTCCTCAGAACCGGGCAGTCGGAGGGGTGGCAGCTAGGTTCATTCTTTCAGTGATGGAATCAAATGGTTATTAAAAGCAAATGATTGCCAGGGTCGTTAGAAACGCCAGCGCCTCAGGATCAGACTTGTAAGCAAATGGAATTGGTCTTTCTCCAAAATCCTGCACTGCTTTAACCACAGGGTTGTAAATCAAAGGGGCTGTCTGAAAACCAGACAGCTTTCCCCGAGCTATGCATGTTAAATATTCTGTCCTGCACGTGTTCGGCTGGGGAGCTGCACATGGGAGGAAGAAAGCACCAGGTTTTAGAGTGAGCACTGTGGAAGAACAAATGCTCCTGCGCTTGCTCTCTTGAAATCCGCGGGGGCCTCTGAGCCGTGAGCCAGCATACGTTTTGGAGGAAGCTTGCCTCGCAGAGCCTTTAGAGTCTGTGTTCACCGTGAGACTTCCGGATAGCTGTGACACCAGAGGGGCGGCGGGTCAAGTGGCCCTGGACAGTGGACTTTTCAGCCCAGCTGCGGGAGATGGCTCTGCAGCAGGGAGGGGTCCCCTCACGCATCTGCTTGGCTCAGCTCCTGGACGGCTGGGTGATGGAGTCGCTAGAGTGTGGAAGGGGCCAGGTGCTTATAGAAGAATTCCATGCCCTTCTCCTTCTGCCTGCGTAGGGAGGGCAGAGGGATTTGCAGAGGTGATGGGAGATGAAGGCGGTGGCAGAGGATCAGAAGCTCAAAGAGGCATGACCTAGAACAGTTTCAGAAGCCAGTCCTATGTGAAGAACCCCAGAAGAAAACTGTGATCACTCACCAGAGCCCAGGTGTTCACTGTAAGGCAGCAAACGTTGCACATTCTATGAAAAAATGGAGCTATTTTGAAAGCTTTTTTGAAAAACCAAAAAGTCCATACAGTTCCCTTAGAGGCAATCAGGAAGAACCTTCCAGGAATATGATTCCTTTGCAAGCTCATCTTCTCCTTCTTCTTTCACTAGTAGTTGGGGTCAGATGAAGGGGTCTTGACCCTGAGAG